GCTCTGTCTCAAAAAAAGAAAAAAACATTTTTTTAAATAATCAAAATTACAAAGAGTATGTTCTCTGATAACAATAATAGGAAACTAGAAAGCAGTTAATAAAGAAATAACAGGAAAATCTTTAAACACTTGGAAACTAAACAACACACTTGTCAACAGAAATAAAAGAAACTACATGGAACTGAATAAAAATCAAAATACAACATGTCGAAATTTGTGAGACATGAGGAGGAAGAGGAAAAAGTGTTAGGTCAACAATCCATCACTTTAAGAACCTAGAAAAAGAAGAGTAATGTAAACTCAAAGCAAGTAAAAGGGAATAATGAGAAGAAACCACAGAGACTGAACACAGAAAAAAATAGAGCAAACAAATCAATGGAACAAAGAGCTGTTTATTTGAAAAAAATCAACAAAATTGACAAGCCTAACAAAGAAAAAAGAAAGGAAACACAAATTGCCAATATTAGGAATGAAGCAAACCGCAAGTACAGAATCAGTAAATCTCACAAGAAGATGCGGAGAGCAGCTCTACACACGGAATCTGACCACCTGCAGGGAAAGGGCCCATCTTCAAAGGCACAGACGCCGCCCCCAAGAACCCACTTTCTTTGCTCATCCATAAAAAGCTAGTCCTCATCAGGTTTTATCACAAGACGGAGCAATTCAGCCCAATCTGCAAGCTCTACTTCTAACTCTGGTTATCCTGCTACTTCCACCACATCTGCAGTTATCTCCAAGTCTTTTTTTTTTTTTTTTTTGCATTTTTTTGAGACAGAGCATCAAGCTGTCCCCCTGGGTAGAGTGCTATGGCATCACAGCTCACAGCAACCTCCAACTCCTGGGCTCAAGTGATTCTCCTGCCTCTGCCTCCCAAGTAGCTGGGACCATAGGCACCCTCTGCAACGCCCAGCTATTTTTTGGTTGTAGCCGTCACTGTTGTGTGGTGGGCCCAGGCTGGATGCGAACCTGCCAGCTCAGGTGCATGTGGCTGGTGCCTTAGCTGCTTGAGCCACAGGTGCCAAGCCTATCTCCAAGTCTTGATGCCCTCAAAGTCATCCATGAGGGGTGGAATCAACTTTTCCCAAACTCTCATTAATGTTGATCTCTTCTCATAAATGACAAATGTTCTTTAAAATTTTTCAGTTGATACATAATTACAACGTGTAGTCATCAAGTCAGGGTATTTAGGATGTACATCACTGTGAACATTTTCCTTTTCTTTGTGTTAGGAGCATTTCAAATCCTCTAGCTATTTCAATCCTTCTAGCTATTTTGAAGCATACAATATATTGTTGTTAACTATGGTCACCCTACTGGGCTATTCAACAGTAAAACCCATTCCTTTGGTTTAACTGATGGTTTGTACCCATCAACCAACCTGGCTTCATACCAACATCCCCACCACCCTCTCCAGCCTCTCTTACTATCATTCTACTCTAGACCTCCAAGAGATCAACGTTTTTAGCTCCCACATGTGAAAATCACACATTTCCTTAATGGCATCTAGAATAGTTAAGTCCCTTCCAGAAGGTTTCCAATTTACTTTGCTCATATTCATCACAGGAATCACTATCTATGGCAGCTGTACCATTATGAAATATATTAATATCTGTTAAATAATGAGATTTGAGGCTCAGCGCCTGTGGCTCAAGTGGCTAAGGTGCCAGCCACATACACCTAAGGTGGCAGGTTCGAATCCACCCCGGGCCCGCCAAAACAACGACAGCGGCAACCAAAAAAAACAGTCAGGCATTGTGGCGGGCGCCTGTGGTCCCAGCTACTTGGGAGGCTGAGGCAGGAGACTCACTTGAGCCCAGGAGTTGGAGGTTGCTGTGAGCTGTGATGCCACAGCACTCTACCCAGGGGGATAGCTTGAGGCTCTGTCTCAAATAATAATAATAATAAGATTTGAAACTTGAAATTACTCCTTGATCCCCAGGCTGCAGAATGGGTCTTGTCTTAGCAGACATGAAAACAACATTCATCTTCTTGTACATCTCTATCTGAGGCCTTGGGTGGCCAGGAACGTTGTCAATGAGCAGTAATATTTTGAAAAGAAACTTTTTTTGAGCAACAGTGGGCTTTAAATATTCAGTTAACTATGCTATGAACAGATGTGTGATCACCTGGGCTTTGCTGTTCTACTTACAGTAGTAGAACAGTAGGCAGAGTATATTTAGCACAATTCTTAAGAGTCATAAAATTTTCAGAGTAGTAAGTGAGAACTGGCTTCAGCTTAAGGTTAAGCGCTGCATTAACCCCCAACAAGAGAGTCAGCCTATCCTTTGAAGCCACATGTCAACTCCTTCTCTCCAGCTGTGAAAGTCCCACATGACGCCTCTTTCCTCTACACTGAAAACCTGTTGATGAATGCGTCCACCTTCATCAGTTATCTCAGCTAGATCTCTGGATAACTGGCTGTAGCTTCTACATCAGCACTTGCTACTTCTCTTCATCTCTGCTGGCTCTCACCTTTTCTTCTGTAGCTTCCTCAGCTCTCTCAGCCTTCACAGAATTGAAGAGTTAGAGCCTTGCTCTGGATGAGTCTTTGACTTAAGGAACACTGTGGCTAATTT